ATAAGTTTGGAATCACCACAGATGGGAAATTCTGGGACTCGAAGGTTACAGTTACCGCCATGATAATTATCAGATGCGGAAACCTAGTTTCAGAAACTAGTTTCAAGTTTCAGAGTGTCAGAACCCTAGTATGCAGAAACTAGGTCTCCCCTTGTCGACTTTCGTAAACCCATAATGAAAAAAAGCCAGACACACTAAAGACTCCACATTTATTGTGGATAGAAAGCCAAACAAGTAGTCTATTAGGTTGTCTCATAAATAGTGTCGCTTTTTTTCAATCAAAAATTTTTCGACTGAATTCCCATGCTTTTACATCGAGTAATACACCGTTCGAAAGAGAATTGTCTGCTCTACAAGATGTTGTGTTCTTCTTCCATCTATGTTCCAAGGTTTTCAAATTTGAGGCCTGCGAAACGGGAGAACCCGCCGACAAAAACTCACCAAACCGACAACTAGCTATAACTTTATTTTCCCTGCGGGGAAATCAATCATTGATGTACCCTCTACTTACTCATGACCTCTTCTGAACATTCCACCCTTAGATTGCCGAAAATGTTTTGCCCTGTTTCTTTTCGAAATGGCCGACCGATAAGCCATGGCAATTTTCAAATTGAAATTCTTCATCTGAAACACTATTGTTTTATATCAACTGGTGCATCTTTTGTGAGCACTTCTTCTGCTCTATTCGCTCTCTTGTTTTGTTTCGATGCTTGCTAGGAATTAGCTCAAATTTTAGGTGTTTAGGAGTAAGGTGCTTTATCCACGAAGTGACCGCATTTCTTTGAAAAAAATTATCCTTGAGGAGATGAGAAAATCAACCAGGCGTACATTCCTAACTTATTCATGACTTGTTCTTTAAATTCTACTAGTTTTTCAATGTCTCGGCTGTAAAAAAATTTCGACCTCTATCTCAGGTAACGGTGCTTGACCGCCGAGTTCTGGTTGAAAAACCAGGTCTGAAAATGGAATGACGCGACTTGTAGGGAAATCTAATAATGTAATATTTAGGAGAGGTTATGCATAAGTAGAGGGTACAGTATTGATTTCTCTCAAGGGAAGATAAAGTTTGAGATAGTTGTCGGTTTGGTCAATTTTTGTCGGCTCTACCTCCCACTTCGCAGGCCTAAAACTTGATAACCTTGACACAACGGTAGAAGAAGAACATCACATCTTGTAGAGCAGACAATTCTCTTTCGAATGGTATATGAGTCGCTTTAAAAGCATGGGGATTTAAATAGAAATTTTTTGGTTGAAAAAAAGCGACACTGTTTATGAGACAACCTAATACTTAGGACTTCTTACAGGACCGAGCACCCAAAAATAAAGCGAAAATCTTCCAGAAAGCGGTTTTTCAGTAAAATTAATGGCTTCATGTATGACTAAACTTTTCAAAATTAAAACTGTTTTTGTTTTTGTTTAGTAATGATTTCTCTCAAGGGAAGATAAAGTTTGAGATAGTTGTCGGGTTTGGTTCAATTTTTGTCGGCTCTACCTCCACTTCGCAGGCCTAAAATTGATAACCTTGACACAACGGTAGAAGAAGAACATCACATCTTGTAGAGCAGACAATTCTCTTTCGAAGGTATATGAGTCGCTTTAAAAGCATGGGGATATAGATAAATTTTTGTGTTGAAAAAAAGCGACACTGTTTATGAGACAACCTAATATTAGACTTCTTACAGGACGAGCACCCCAAAAATAAAGCGAAAACTTCCAGAAAGCGGTTTTTCAGTAAAATAATGGCTTCATGTATGACTAAACTTTTCAAAATTAAACTGTTTTTTTTTGT